CCAGAACCATAGCAGCGATGGGAGATTCTCTGTCAATAGAATATACAAAATGGAAGCTTTGGGGAAGCCAGGAGGCAGTACAGGGTAATGCACATAACTATGGAAAACTAGATTCTGATGCCTATTGGAACAACGTGAAAGTTTAATCAATTGTCCAAAACGAAGCATGGCTAAATTGATTTGAGCCACTTATAACAATATACGAGTCCATTGAGTGGCAAGTATAGTATACCAGGTAAAATATGCTATTACAAAAGGAGGTACAGCTTACCGCAGGACAATCACTCTTGAACCATGAAAAAGACAAAAGGCATAGCTCTGAACTAGTCTATTATTCCGTACAGAAACATGGATTACGGAATTCACTAGCAATACCTTGATCTTAGAATATGATAGACTAACTCAACAACGGTAGTAGCCTACATCACCCTGTGCTTTCCTTTTTATTAGGACATTACTCAATCAATTAATGGTAGTAAGTCTAAAACAGTGGCAATCATTGTGGTTCGGAAAATTCAAGTATGGAACTTTCCAGTTAGATTTATCTTCAGCCATCTTTTCATAAATGTTTGCCTGCCAAACAATAAAACCTAAAAAGACATGTAAACAGAAGGTATTTGAGCTACATGAGACTCATTTTTTCAACATAACAAGACATAGCAAGCAAAAGATTACTTCTTTCAGTGTTCAACTGCTTAAATATTTAAGAACCAAATCAAGATATACGTACTTCTCAGCATGCATACGGCAAAGTTGCAAAGAAAACGAGTGAAATGTGCTGATCGTGAGCTCCTTTGCTGCTGTCTTCCCTGCAACTCTTCCGATCCTCTCCCTCATTTCAGAAGCTGCTGCTGTTGTAAAAGTCATAGCAAGAATGTTTGATGGACCAATACCCTATAACAACAAGCAAAGGAAGGGAGAGGAAGAAAACTCAGAAGTAGATACTTGACTAGATCCGTCACGTGCTAGACATGGCATTGACAAAAGTATAATGATATATCAGCACTTATAGTCATCGCACTACCTTGTGCAGTAGCATCAGGACTCGCCCAACCATCGTAGATGTCTGAAATGCAAATAGAAGAAATCAAACAACTATTGACGAAGATATACAAATTTCATTTTTAAACCATGAGAAAGTAAAGACCTTGCCACTTCCTGGTCCAGCAACAATGATTAGGGGGATTGAAATGTCACTACAAGCTGCCTCCTGTTGTCTGTCATTCAGCGACTCTACATACTTTATATAATCCTCAGGCATGTTCCTGATATCTGTTGCCTCCAACTTGCTCCCAGTATCTGTGGCCTTGGAGCTTTTTGGATCCTCTACTTCACATTCTTGATTACCAGTTGAATTCAGAATGCATTCAACTTTAAAAGCTTCATCTGACCTGACAAGATTTGAGTTATCAGGTCCACTGCTCTTTGATCTTTCTGCTTCACTTTCTTGATTGCCCCTTGATATCAAAATGCACTCCTGTCCTGAATTATCACTAGAAACAATAGCATTTAAGTTATCCTCCTTGTCCAAGTTGTTTATGTGATGATTTTCAATTGGAATGCTGTTGAACCTCTTCATTCCAGGCTTTCCTTTTGAGTTTTGCTCACATAAAGCATCTATTTCGTCCAAAATGTGTTCATCAAAATCATCATCTAGAACAGTTGATGAAAAGGATGACTCACTCAAGCCAGAAAATCCAGGTTGCCTCACTGGAGTTATGTATGTATTCAACCCAACCATGTTTTCCACTTGAACACTTCCACCGTTTTCACTTAGGTTAGATTCAATTGATTCACTTCTATTGCTAGAGAACTTGAAAGTTTCAACTGTTTGAAATTGTATCTCACACTTGGTCCTTGCATTGATGCTGCTGTCAAGTTCACGGACTTGTGAGCCCTTAACAGTGGTAAAGACATTGAGCGTTTTCTTGGAACCCTTCTCATAGATGGGAGACGGAGTGTTCATCGGAATCTCAGTAAGAGGAAACCTTTTATCACCATTAATCCGATCTGATGATGTAGTTCTCTGAGCCTTTCCAACTCTAATAAAAGATTACCAGATACATCAAAACATTAAACAAAGAAGAAAGAATTTGAACAAGCATTTCAAACTTACTTTTGAAGCATATACTGAACAACAAATAAGCATACAAGAAAAAGAAAACGATTTCCAGATTAACTTAAATTGTTGATACCTTTATTTTTCAAGGTCAATACATCTACCACAAAATTCAAAATTAGAAGTAATCAGTGCATCGGAATTGAGTTATCAAGGAGCTATTAACTGATTTCATGACTAGGGGGAAGAAATCAGTATCAAAATCCATAGCCTTTCGAAGGAAAATGGAACTTAGATCACTGAATGAGTGAACTTATAAGTGGAATCTTGTCGACGGGCATATTACCAAGGAGGACGAACTTTTTTCCAATTAAGATGTTGTGAATTCTATGCAATTTTGGTTAAGTGTAAATTGTAATCCTAGCCTAGAAAGAAGAGATACATGGTTAGGAGGGTTAGCACATAAAGTTGGAAGTAGATAATGATGTGTTATGAAGTTTTCATTTCTACACCATCAACTTGAAAAAGAGGTAACTGCAAATGGACAGTTTCTCAAGGGGCTAGCTTCTTCGTGGCCTCCGCGTTCTCCTTAAGGAATATCAAATGTTGCGTGACTTCACTTGTTGCAAACATCAAATTCACTAACTACTTACTTTTTTCAAATTCCCCTTCTGATTGAATTGATTTGAGCCCTAAAAAATAGATATAGCTAATGTGTCTATTTTATAGGTGAACAGATTATGAAGAAGCAACAAACAATCAATTTGAAATTGAATACAGAAAAGCGTACTTATCGAGGGATGTGGTGGAGCAATCATGGAGTGGCCTTTTGCGAGTAAGAAGTGCCTTTGCTGCTCTGAACTTTGAAGAGATTCGAGCTTTCTGTTCCGCCGTTAATCCGCCACCACTACCAACTACATTCTCCTTGTTGTTTACCGATTCATTCATGTTGTTTCTACCTCTCTAGCATGGAAGGAGAGTGAGAACCTTGGAAGGTTTTTCTTGACTCTGTTGCGCTCTTACTTTTGCCTCCCGATAATCAGGAATGGGATTTTTCAAATTAGGGAAAAAGGGTCAAAACTATGTTTCAACTATTCGAAATAGATTATACACATTTTTAAATTATTTTTCGACTCAAAAGTATCCTTCTCGTCTTACTATTAGACCAGACGTACCCTTCTGTTTAACGAAAAACTCCGCATGTGCACGCCCAACCCCCACCCACCTCCACATAGACGTTCTAAGAGCCCTAATTTCACCCTTTTCCCACATTTCATCCTTTTCTTAAAAACGAACCAAAGAAACTTCCTTTCACCCGTCCTAATTTCACTCTGAAGATTTACGCAATAACATTATTTAGAGAATAGTGAGTGCGACATAATCTGGTAGACTAGAAGCAAATCAAACTGTTGATTTCTTTGTTACATTCCATTATTAGCAAAAGGCAAAAAGCAAAAAGAGTTGATGAGAACAGACATGAATGGACTCAATCACCCCTTTGTAAACTCTACCAAAGCCTCCTTCTCCAAGATGATAATCACCTCGAAAATTTTCACTGCAACTGCTAAATCATGAAATATAAAAGTGTTGGCTGCAATTTGGTGGACTCTGCCTCCTTATCAACTTTCTTTGTGCGTAATGAATTTTTTGCTTTCAACTTATCTAAAGACAAGAACAAAAAACAGAAAAGTAAACAAAAACATGACACTAAAGTGAGGTAACTAGTGTTCACAAATAAGAAGGATGATTGACAAGAAGGGGAAATGATATATAAACGTTTTTATCGGTTCAACTCAAGGATGAGGGAGGTTGTTTGAAGTTTGAACTATGAAGCGTCATTAACTGTAGAAGATTGCTTGAAACTTGAACTATGAAACTTCACTAGCTGATGTTGGTTACGTTAGAATTTTCAATATGGCATACGCTACCAAAAACAGCAAGAGTTGACAAGCTCACGAATAATGTTGCACTCACTATTCTCTTAATAATGTTGTTGTGTAATTCTTCAGGGTGAAATTAGGGCTGGTGAAAGGAACCGTCTTTGAATCTATCTTTTTTACGAAAATGATGAAATTTAGGCTCTTAAAACGTCTATGTGGTGATGGGTGGGGGTGGGCGTGCACATATGGAGGTCTATGTGGCATATTAATACACACATTAGATGCCACATAACTTTTTCGCTAAATAGAAGGGTAAGTTTGATCCAATAGTAAGAGAGGAAGGGTTACTTTTGAGCCAAAAAATAGTTTAAGGATATAGTTAATCTATTTTGAATAGTTGAAGGGTGGTTTTGAACCTTTTCCATTCAAATGATGGTCTGATTTGATCGAGACGAAAGTATTTTTTATGTAAAATGTTTTTCTAGAAAATATTTTTTTTAAACTTATTTAACAAAATACTATGTGGACAAGATGGGATAGGGAGTGGGGGTTCGGGGTAGGGATTGGGGATGTTGGGTAAGGTAGAGGAGACAATAAACTTGGAGTGTCACTTCTAAACTTTTTTTTTTTTTTACTTACTTGCAGAATTGTTTTTCTTACTATCATTTTTCTCATTTTTAAAGAGCTTACTTTTCTAGAAAAAATGTTTTTCAAAATATTTTGATCAATTAAATCTGAAAACAAGAAAACCGTCTACAATTAGGAAATACAATAGACGTGCATACTTCTTAGTTTACTGGGATTCAGTTTCCATATTATCCCTTTTAATTTCGTTTTTGGCAAACAAATCCGAATTCAACTCGGTTAGTAAAAAGAAAAAACAAACACTTTATATATAGTTGTAATAACTCAGTAATCCACTCACCACACAATTGAATTCACTCCAATATTTGTATTACTATTACTTATATAGCCATAGTTAAGTGCTGGTAATAAGACGACTATTCTCTTATCGCAATATAATTTAGAACAACTAAAGTATGTGCACACCTAGCACAACCATGGACATGAAGTTGAAGAAAAGCAAAGAAGACGAAGAATCTGTGGAGAAATTCGCAATGGCGAATTGTGTGGATATAATGAGGAGGAACGAGTCGTTAGGACGACCTAAACTCTTCAAGTGCAAGAAATGTAAGAAACGATTTGAATCATTTCAAGCACTTGGCGGGCACATGACAAGTCACAAAAATAGGCTGAATAAGCTTACCACGATGAGTACTAACGGTGAATTATTGCCTGTTAATCTAAAAAAACATGAATGCTCCATTTGTGGTAAAGATTTTGCAATTGGACAAGCGTTGGGAGGACATATGAGAAAACATCGAGATGAATTGAATCAACTCGAGCATAAGAAGAAGCAGAAATTGGACGAAAATTTGATCAAGAGTACTGGTGAACTTTCAGAAGCTCTTTACGACAAGACGAAATTGGACGAGACTTCACAAACTGATGAACTTGTAAAAGCTCTTCATGAAAAGACGAGTTTGGATAGTACTAGAAGAACTTTGACTTTGGATTTGAATTTGACAACAGATGAGAATGAGTTGAGCACGGGGTAATTCTTTTTTTCTTTTTTTTTAGTTTTGGTTGTAACTAATTATACAGTTAAGAGATGTAGAAATCTATTTAGATGCTTAGAAATTTCAGTTTTTGTTGGTGTTACATACAAAGCTGTACAGTTTGCTTGTTTTTCTTATATTGTGATGCATGCAAATATTAATTAATCTATAAGGATCTGTTTGAATAATCTTGTCTACAATGAAAGCTAGTTACGTTGATTTAACAACCACTTTTTACTTCAAGTGGCCCACTGGTTTAGGCTTGAGACTTCCATGTTGGAGGTCTCAAGTTCAAAACCCCTTGCCGACAAATGTGGGTTTGTCTTCTGGGTCTTGTCTAGTGCGGGTAATCTCTCATATGTGATTTGCAAGCGTATAGGAGCAGGTTTTCATTGTCATAAAAATAAATAAATTATATTTAAATTTAGATGACATATTCTTATCATGCAAGCCATTGGATATTAGTCTCTTTTTCATCCATCATTCTCCCTACGATGTCTAACTTCATGTATCAATCTCTCTCTATATACATTCGTAAAATAATTTTAAAAAAATAATGACTTGAAATTTTATTACGGAATTATATACTTTAATTTCTTTTGGTTCGGTTATGTGTGAGACTATTACCATCATCAATTGACTTCATGTTGTATCACCAAAATCACCGTGAATGTTATGCGTAACAAGCACATTCTTACCTTTAATTCAAATGTGACTATGTCATATCAACCTTAGAATTTTGGTTACTATTATCAAACTTATGATGTATTTCAATAAAAATATAAACTCGATGAATTAAGAAAATATACCAGAAAATCCAATGAATATTAACCTACCAGAATTAACAAATCAACTACAGAGCTACTCCTAATCTTACAAGAATTAACAAATCCTACAGCTACTCCATTAATTATCGTATTCAAATCCTAAATATATTAGAACACTACGATAAAAGAAAGACTATTTTAATCCTTTAATTTGCAATCGCACAAACCATGTCAAGATAGGATTAGGAATCTACTAATCAATTTCTATTATTGAGTCTTTTAACGAGGGCAAAAAGTTCAATGAACGCTTTTACACCTTGTTGGATGGTTGTTATCCGTTGTATTGTATTATATTGTATTGTTAGGTCAAATACAATGTTTGTTTCGATTGTCACCTAAATTATCATGTATTCTATCGTTTAAATTCATTATTAGATAATGACGAAAAGACTCATTTTAATTTATATAACGACCGATTTGGTGTGATTGCATAGTTATCTTAATATTTTCTTATTTTATTTTTATTTATTATTTATTAATAATCATATTTCATCTTTTTATCCTACATTTTCATAGTAGCTCTACCTCATACCCTACTTTCTTGTAGGTTTATCATTTAAATTATGGATGTGTGACATTATGTAACGATGCAGAACGATACAATCTATCCAAACATTGTATTCATTAAAACAATACAGTACGACACAATACAACATAATACAATACAAATATACAATATATTATGAAACAATACATAATAACAATCCAAACGAAATGTAAGATAAAAGAAAACTCTCTTAATCCTTTAATTTGCAATCACCCAAACCATGTCAAGATAGGATTAAGAATCTACTAATCGTTTTCTATTTTTATAGAGTATTTAAGAGAAAATGGTCAAATGTCCCCTCAACCTATTATCCGATTCTCAACTACACACCAATACTTTATGGGAGTCCTATTACCCCCTTGATGTATTTTAAATGGAGATATTGGCACCCTTAAATGGTGATGTGGCATAGCAAGTGTAATCACTTTCCTATTAGCAAGTGTGAGGAAAAAAAAGAAGTCAAAATTAATTAATTTGACAACTGTCAATCCTTAATTAGATACATATAAAATAACTAATAAATTTAATCAACTAAAATCACTCTCTCTCTCTCTCTCTCATCTCTAACCCTTCGTCAACCCGGTCAGCTGCCATGGCTATCAATACAAGAAAGAATTTTATCTTTTCATACTTTCATTTTTAATTCACAAAATACTTTTCAGTAGCAACACCATTAAAAATCTTCCCCTAATTTTAGACAGAACAATAAAATAATTTTCTACTCCTTTTTGGCCTACGTGGCACTATCTTCTGGGCCCAACGCGTGTTGACAATTTTTTCAAGGATAGTGCCACGTAGGCCGAAAAGGGGTAGAAAATTATTTATAAAAATAAGTTCGGGGGGTAATAGGACCTTAGTATAGTATAAGTGTGTCTCTGGGATTTCGGGCATAGGTTGGGGGTACTTATGCATTTTCCCTTATATTAACGGAACTCTTCGTAAAATTAAATGTTTAACCCATTTTGAAGTTGTTTCTTTATCCCTGTCACTTTTTCTTTAAATTACTCTTACGAAAAGAATAATAACCTCAACGATTCAAAATAAAATTAATAAAGAAAGAAGATATAATTCTTGATTTTATTCAATGGAAGGTAAAATGAAGCATATAATTGTTTCTAATGACTTGAATATGCTAGGTTTCATTCTTTGACGGTTAACGTTTCATAATCAACATAAAAAAAATTTAAAATTTATTTTTCATACAAAATAAAAATAAGAGATTTGATCGTATTACTCAAATTTCTCTTCGTAAAATAAAATTAATTAATAATAGAATCGATCTATTTAAAAAAAACTTTGAAAAAAGTTACAAATCTACCATTTTATAAATTTCAACTTCTGAAAATTAAATAAATCCCTTCAATAAAGCCGTTGGAGTACAAATTTTGAATTTAATGGGTAGTAATTTTTTTATAATAAAGTTAGCATATTCAAGTAATTAGTAGCAATAATATGCTTCATTTAATCCCCGTTGAATAAAATTATAACTTATATTTCTTTCATCGTGACTTTTATTTTGAATCGTGGAGGTTAAGGTACTTTGCATAAGGATAATTTGAAGAAAAAAATTAGTGGGGAGAGAGAGAAACAATTGAAAAAATGGTTAAAGAATTTAATTTCTCGAGGCATGAATTTCGTTAATTAAACCTAAGTTGTTTGTATAAAAATTGTTAGAGACCAAAACCTGGTAAATGTATAGTTAAGGAACTAAGGGGTCGTTTGGTAGAGTGTATAATAATAATGCTAAATAAAGTGTATCATTAATGTTTGTATTAGCAATGTATGTATTAGTTATGCTTGCATTAATTATACATAGATTATTTTTAGGAAAAACCACTTACTGAGACATACATCCCTACCATATATTAGGGGTGTACAAAATCGAATCGAAAATCGAACCAAACCGCAAATCGAGTCAACCCGGAAAAAAAATCCGACTAGTGTTTTGATTTGACTTGGTTTGGTTTTGAAAAAACAAACCCGACTATATTTGGGTTGGTTTGGTTTTAACTAAAAAAAAACAACCCGACATTATATATATAATTTTAAAATTTTATTTTATACATAAAAATATTTACTTTGATATAATTTTTAAATATTTCTTATACTTTTTGTATAGTTTTTATTCTTTTAATTATATTATTTCAAGTTTGAAACTTAGAATTATGAATGGATCAATAAAGATTATAGTCCACAGATGTTGGTAATTATAATAAAGCTTAAATCAAAATCAAATTAATACTAATGCAAAAAGAAAATCAATTCAACACTAAGAATGACAATAATATTGAATACTTGTTCTTTAGTTTTACTATTGGTTTAGACAATTAAAATACATAATCTAATTTTAATTTCCTTTAATATTTAGTCATGTAACTAATACTTATTAAACTTAATTTTAGCATGATTTAGTACTTTTAAATTATGATCATTTTCATTATGACTTGTTAATTTGCAATATTTGTTTTACGCAATTTCATTATTATTATTTTTGTTGGATATTTTAGTGTCATTAATCATATCATATTGTGTTATAATTTTAAGAAACATCTTACATAGTTGTATTTTGGTAGGACTAAAGAAATATTTGAAGTACAAGTAAATTATATGTTTGTATGAATACTTTACCCGAAAAACCCGAAACAACCCAAAAAAACAGAAAAATCCGAAAAAACCCGAAAAAACCCGAGGTTGAAAAACCCGAGTTTTATTGATTTGGTTTGGTTTATAAATTTAAAAATCCGACACAAATGATTTGGTTTGATATTTAAAAAACCCGAACCAACCCGGCTATGTACACCCCTACCATATATACTAAAATTACCTTTACTTTCAAACAATTACATATATTACCACTTTTAATATTTTATACCATATATTTTAAAAGATACAATTTAGATACACAATATCCCTTTAAACTAGGATTAATTAATTATCCTTACATTTAAACACCAAAATTAATGGTCCAATTGCAATTAATAAATTTTCTCTCTCATTTTACCATTTTCCTCTGCCAATTCCCTACTGCAACAATCTTTACTCCCACACGTCCTCCACCCCCTCCACAATTTTTCTCCCTTCCTTCATTCTCTTAAGATCAAAATTGATTCTTGCTTATCTTCCAGTGAAACTATTAAGTAAAACAGACTAAACCTTTTCTCTCTTATTCCGACGTTTAAGTTTCTGAAAGGACAAAACTCAGCTATTGCGGGAGGTTAATAGGATATTATACGTTCAGAACCTCCCGCTCAACATCATGATCGAAGAGATGTACCATGTCTTCAATAAATACGGAGCTATAAGACAAATTCGTATTGGCACAACTAAGGATACACGTTGAAGTGCCTTCATTGTCTATGAAGATATATATGATGCAAAAATGTATTACCACCAAGTGGAGGTGAGTAAAAAATATTACTAGAAAAAGGAGGACGAGATACACGTTTTTGGATATATGTAATACTTACCATATATTCGAGACACATATTTTTGGATATAACGTATGAAATTAATATTTGATACATCAATTTAATACTAGGTACATGAAATTATAGTAGATCATATAAATAGATACAAGAAGTTAATACTAGATACATACAACAAATACATTAAATTAATATTAGATACTTCTATGATACATATGAACGTACTTGTGCGCCCATGTATCATAGTCTATTTGTTAATGTGGAATAAGAGATTAATATGTTTTCATGATACACCTGATTGTATGTATTTGTGTCCATCTGATCAAAGTCCATCAACTTTTTTTTTATGTATCTAAGAGGTTAGTACGAATGATACATATAAATGTGTATGTGCATTGTACACTCATGTATCTAAATGTTTAGTTTGTTGGATATATCATACATTAATAATAGATACATCAAATTAATGAAATTATTATTTTAAAAGTAATAAAATGAAACTAATCAAATTACATAACCAAAATATGCATGTTTTGGTCTTTTATTAATAATATTAATGATTTATTAGTTAAAAGAGTAATAGAATGAAATTAATTAAACATAGATACACTCCTCAATTTATGCCTTATATTAAGGGATTTGATTAATTTAAATTTTAAATTAATTGTTTATATATTCTGAAAATTCTCAGTTACTCCTTTAATTAAGGAAATAAGTTACAAACATTTAATTCAAACAAAGAAAACATGTATCTCGATTCTAAAAACTATCGGATACATATATTTGACGAGTAATGATACATGTATCCAAAGGAAGAAATATGGTACAATAAGTAATATTTGAAACTATCGTGAATTATAGTAATTATGACCTAAACTAGTGGGATTTATGTAGTTTACCCTTATTTTTATGTATTGTTTGGTTTGATGCATTAAAAATAACATGCATTGCATAAAAAATTATTTACAAAGATACCCTCCACTATTATGGTGGAAAAGATGTAGAAAAAGGTTTTGAGGGGCAATTGGATCTTTAATCATGCTAATGCATGCATTAAAATCAATGCATTGCTAATACCTAAAAATCTATGGTATTAACAATATACACCTTAACACAGAATAGAGTGTATAACTAATGCATAGAATAGAAAAAAGTACCAAACAAAGTACTAGTAATACACAAGGCTAATGCATGCATTATTTTTCCTAATACAATCTACCAAACTGGTAAACATATAGTTAAAGGACCAAACCTAATAAGTTTTTGAATAGTTTTAGAACTAAATTGTAACACCTCGGATTTGAAAAGATGGAAAATTGCAACTTTTTCTAGAACTGGTGCCAGTACTGACGGAACCACAGACGGTCCGTGGACTAGCATACGGGCCGTAGGTGGGGCCGTGGGGGGTGAGTTCAGAAATTCCTAAAAATGTCAAGGTCTCAATACTTTATATGGTTCACCAGGATGGTCCGTCATCCAATGTACGAGTCGTAGATAGGTCTCGTATGTGAGTCTCAGACTTAGAGATATTTTAAGAAATTTCAGTTGGACCCACGGAGGCCATGTATGGACTGTAGCTTGAACCACGGGCCGTGCATGAGTTCTGTCAGTCGAGGGTCCAAGAAATAAGTTTCTGAACCCATGGAAGGTCAATCAGGATGGTCCGTAAGTGGGCCCACAGACCATAGGTCCCCACCGTCGATGGAGGTCGACAATTATTCTTAGAAGGGCTTCTTGGTCTTTTCCCTAATTGTTATAACCCAATACTATGTCATTTTACCCTTTACTCAAAGCCTTATATACTGATTTTTAACCCCCAAAACACCCAATTCAATTCATTCTCCTAAAATTCTCAAAAAGTTGAACAAGTCATCCTCTCAAAAATTCTCTCTCTAAGGAAGAAGAAGAAGACTAGGGTTCTTCAAGTTCAAGTCTCCTTTCTTCATCATTGCTTGAGGCTTCAATCAAGGTATGTAGGGAGTTCATCAATGGGTTCCATTCACCCATTGATTCCCCAAAGTTTCGTCAATTCTCTAATTCAATTTCTCAAGATTTGATTAGATTTTCACTCAATTTCTCATGGGTTCTATATATTTGTATGGATTCAATTGCTTTATTGTGATCTTTTTTATTTTTATTTTATGATTTGCATTTAATTACATGCTTTTTAACCAATTCCATGTGAACCCATGCATTGATCTATGAATTTTGACCATGAACCCTAATTTACATGAATTATGAAGAAGCCTGAATCTATATTATTTTATGAAATTATGCATGTTTTTATGAAAGTAATTGTTATGACTCAAGTAAGCTTATAGATAAAGGTATCTATATGTTCAATGAATCTTGGCCACATGACATGAATGACATCTAGATTTGCCCTCAATACTTCTCGAGCTATTTTCCTAAATTAAGTCTTGATTAGTATGATATTCAGATATGCCATCAATGATTATAGATCACGCTTTCAAAACTATTTCCATTAGTAGTAGGACATCTCTAGCATGATGTGAATGACTATGGGCCTTTAAAGCTATTATGAAAAGATCATGGATGGTGAAAGGTTTTCTCACGCATGGTTTAAGGAGCTATCCTATGATAAGACAAGAGGTGAATACCCATGTCCCATAATAATAAGGTGAGTTAAGACTAATGATTATTCCATAGGATTTATACTTAGCACCGAGTGGACAAGTGGCGATTACCCATGTCCCATAAACTATGTGCCACCATAGAATGATTGTCTTAGATAAACATTAGCTAGTGAATCCACGTAAGCTAGAAGTTCGTGGTCCTTACCTTGACAAATAGGACACCCCTTTTCGGTGTAGGGCAGACACTAAATTCCATGTTATAGCTCGCATGGTCTATATGTCGGTTAACGGTAAACTTCCCACAAAAAGAACTAAGTTGATTTTTAATGTTCCATGAAGCTTCCTTTATAATTTAAGATGCATTGACCATATTCATGATTTATGAATCTTCTTTAATGATTTTTACTATGTTTTAACTTGGTCATGCATTCCATGTTTTCGATCATGTCCCTTTATTATCATGTGTTTATCTTTTATTGCATTCCTCTCATACTTGGTACATTCCATGTACTAACGCATACTCTTGCCTACATTATTTCACTAATGTAGGGTCCGATGCTCCTATTCCGCATCCTCGAGGCTAGTGTTCACTTTAGTGGATTGACTGGATTCGAAGATTGGTGAGTCCTCATGTTCCGAGGACCAAACCTTTTATTGCTTATCGTCATTACTTTTCAGATATTGTATGTGATGCATGAGTTACGTCCAAATCACTCTTGATGTAATAGATGACTTTGAGACTATTTAAACTTCCGCTTCGTTTTTGACAAACTCTTTATGATATAAACTGTCTTTTGAGCTATTTAATTCCATTATTTTGTTTATGCATGCTAAGTGGTTTGTGTAGGGACTCTCGGGATCTTATACGACATGTCACGTCTAGAATGTACTTTGGGTCATGACCAGAGGCGTATCCAGGGTTTTGAGATGATGGGTGCACTGTTATAAAAAGATTGATCTATGATACAAATTTGATCGGTACGACATTTAAGTTTTTACTACTGAAAATCGTTAAATTATAAAATTATAGGTCTAAAATTAATTCTTATATATATATATATATATACACACATACACCAATTACTACTGAGAGAAATGTTATCTAATTTTAGAAAGAAAAATAAAACAAGATAAATATAAAATTCAAATTTCTAACCTCGCAGAGAGAGGTGCACCCAATCACAATCGCATTATGTGATATTTCAAGTGTGGGTTCACACATCTATATTTCATTGTTTTTTAAAATATAACACTATTATATATAATTTCGAGAGGGAACCATGGATTCACGTGAATCCGATGAGCCTCCCTTAGATACGCCTCTGGTCGTGACATAAATCCGGTAAGTACATATTTAACGAGATTATTTATGATATTTTCTCTAGACTAAACACACCCTTCGTCTTCAACACCCAACTTCATATACACTACAAGTAAAAAGAAACGCCTAAACTCATTAAAAATGGGAAGTTCTTGGAAGTCTGGACAGGATTGATCACTCACTGACTGACTGGGGATTCATCGGGCGAGAGATATGGAAGCGCTAATAGCCTCATACGCAGACGATTCTTCTGACTCCGATTCCGACTCCAATCCCACCCCTCCACAGCCGCCGTCAGCTTCCACATCACTGGCCCCTCTCCCCCCGCCTCCTATTTCACTTCTTCAGCCGCCCAACTCTTTTGGTAACTTTATTTTTCATCAAACCCAGAAATATCTATAGAAGACGAATTATGCTCACTAAATGTTTGCTTTTTTGCTTCTGAAGTTCCCTTGGACTCCTTACCTAGTAGTCAAGTCAATCGCGTTCGAAGCTTTCCTCACATTGAAGGCAATTATGCTTTACATGTCTACATCCCGGGTAATTTCTTCTATCTCCCTTATTTTCATGCCATTTTATGCTTTGTTCTCTAATTTTGTTTTTGTGAATTGGTGAAGAGCATAATAACTCAATTCTGCAAAATCATTATTAGTCGTTAAAAGGTAGGTTTAGAGCAAGATCATTTGCAAATTGCATTTAGTAACAGAATTAGGGTGGTTTTTAAGACACAATTTTTTAAATCGAAAAGAGACAAATCAAACGGTCCTTATTTAATCAAGTATGATATTGGTAATATGATTCAAAATCAAATCTTTTTGTCATATTTTTGTTGGTAAGTTTATTGGAAGGTTGTTATAAAACGTTTTTTTCGTAATGTTTATTTATATTTTCTTTTACTTCTAGTTTATATACCATCTGCAACAAGGAAGGGGCTGGCCAGTTTTCTGAAGAAGGTCACAGCTATTGTACCTACTCTACATGCTGTGGATGTTGATGTACCATTGAGTGGTTTGTTGAAAGATGAAGCACTGCTTGAAAAAGTGGTGTTGGGTAGAGAGTTTCACATTAGTTTGGGAAGAACTGTTCCTCTCCGCGTGCATCAGATTAATTCCGTGGTCTCCATGCTTCGACAGAGGCTTCAGTTTCAGAGGAGGTGAGGTGACTTTAGTGATATGCATGCTATCTCTGATTTTGTTTTGGGCAAAACAAAACCTGTTGTTGCTTTGTTAATTGTTGTCTATTAATGGACATAGGTATTTGATAGATTTTAACAAATGGGAGATCTTTGTCAATGATGATTCAACTCGCACATTCATGTCACTGGAAGTTGTAGAAGGAGGCTTAGCACAGGTATGAAAAATGCCATTTCTTTAGTACTTGTTGGTAACATGGTTTGCTGTTTTGGCTTGTGTTCACTTCTAGCTGAACTCCGAAGAATGTTTGAAGTCATAAGTATGCTCCTCGTATAGAAGTTAGTTGTTGGTACATCTTTAAGGTCCCTTAATATAAAATAGATATCAAGGCACATGCTTGTGTGTGCCAAATTCAATTTTCCCAGATTTAAGAGCTAATGGAAAGTAATGTAACATGAGAAAAAGAGAATATGAGATAGTTGTAGAAAAGGGAGTGTCAAGAGATGGAAAAATTTACCTTAGTGACCAGTATATCCTTCTGTTTCCTCATTAGTGAGTTGGTTATAACGATGTCTAAGAGAAAAGTTTACAACAGGCTTGTCCCTAGGGCTTTGGTTTAGTGGTAAGAGCACAACTTGTGATGTGTAGTATACGCGCATGTTATGAGCTCAAACTCTGTTGTAGACAAAAACTTGGTATTTAAGTGGAGAAGGGTCGAGGGGAGGTCTCATTATTCATCGAGTTTAGAACTGTGCACCACTGGTCTGCGGGGTTTTGTCGGCTATCCCCCCCAAAAAGAAATGAATTACAACAGGATTCACCATTTGAGTTGCTATCCCATATTTAATGGTGGTAGATAAACATTCCATGCTGTGTGTTCTGAATTATATGAGCTCTTATGGTGTCTTTCATTTTCGAGAGAGATATGTCAATGCGAATGGAAGCTGCCTCCATGGTCAACCGTAAGGACTGGGAATGTGTTGAATTGGTAGGTGTATGTGTTGTATCAATCAAGTTGATATTCATGGTTAATCTAGGGAAATATAAACTAGAAGTACAGTCGTACAGCTAAAGAAGGTTATCTCCCTCTGTCTGGGTAATTGGATTGGAGTTGCTGCTTATGTGTATTGTCATATCCTCCTCTTCCCACTGCCTCAGTCATCTACTATAAGGTCTGTGTATGGTATCTTTTTCTCATAGGGCCAGTATATCCATAAGCTTCTTGTTACCGGTGGGGTTCAAATAGATTTTGTACGAATGTTCACAACTGATATTATTTGTTGTATTCACAAACATTAAAAACTGAAACTAAAATTAACATCTTTAAAAAAATTAGCTTATGTGAAAATTTCAGAAGTAAGACTGAATGTTTTTTTTTTTGAGAAGGGTAGCAGTAAGTAGACTATGGGAATATTAACACCTAGAATCCGAGATATGACAAAATCCTATTAAATCTTGGCACAAACTTAATGAAGCATCAAGACTAAATGTCCTTTACATTTAGGCCGGTGCACAAAGCATCCCGCGTTATCAGAGTCTGGGAATCAGCCACTTATTCTGGAGAAACTGAAGATATATTGATTTAACCAGAAATGGCCATTAACAAAAAGAATAAAGAAGTAAAGGTCACCCATTGAGCCAAGCACACATTTTTTTTTTCTGAATAAAGCTATTCAAAACAACATATGCAATATGAAAATCAAAATCAAGAGTGACTACTCGTGTCAAGTTGCAACGTGATTAGCCAACGTTTCTTTTATATAAGAGCCTCTTTGGATTGGCTTATTTTAGGGGCTTTAAGCAGTTTTGTAGTGTTTGGGTAAAATAAATAAGTGTTTTTAATCCCAAAAACCATAAGCTAGAAATCTTAACTTATGAGTTTTGGCTTATAATAAGTTATAAGCCCATCCAAACAAGCTCTAAGTAGAGATTGAGAAAAGGAATGGATGATGTCTTCATGGCAGACAAATATAATTGGTAGGCCAACAAGTTTAGGGAGGAGGATGACAAATAGTTGATCTCTTTAGCAACAGAATGTGGTCTAGTGGTTAATGAGTTCTTTTTTGTGTGTGTGTGGTGAGGGTGGGATATCATCAGGTCTCAGGTGAGACAAACATACTAGGTAATTTCTTCCCATTGGCACAAGCCTTGGTGGGTAGTGTTACCCAATACTTATGCGGGTGGGAGGTAGTAGTGCATGCCATTCCGGACATCACCGTCATAAAAAGGTTAATATCTTTATGAAAGTCACCGTAATAGGTTGGCCAACAAGTTTCGGTGGATAATACATTAATTTTTGTTACCAGTAGAAACCCATCAACTTTTGTTATTTTATGTGGATTTTAACCAAAATAAGGAGTAAGTTAGAAGCAGGATGCTGTGCCAGGTTCTTAAGTGAATGGATAATTTGAAAACTAGATCAGAGCAGGGGTTTCCCCTAAAGCTAATGGTGGCATGATCACAGGGCATGCCTGGCTCTGCGCACTGAAAGAAAACTCCTTGTGCAAGCGTTATCCATTTCATTACAATCAAAATCTACATTGTGGGGTTATTAGAGGTTTTGGTGGTTCCTATTGTTGACTTTTAATCTTTAGGTGTGTTTCTGGTTATTGTCTGCTTTAATTTTGATCAACTAATTCTCTACAGTGGTTAGTTAATGCTCATCTTTCGCATGTGTTTCGATTATGGAACAATGAGTTTGAACTAAGCTCTCTACTATTTTCCTCTCTGGCATCATTCATGTCAATTTAGATAAAAGCTTATTGTTTTTCCTTGTCCTCCCGTGTCTTGCTAATATAGTTCATCGTTGAGGCAAGAGAGGAAACTTACTTGTATTTTGTGTCCCTCAGATAAGAAAGCAAATCCAAGCTGTTGATGAAGTCTACAAACTTCATAACCTTCCGGAATTTTACAAGGTTGACCACATGTACTATGTTTAATTTTTTGCAAGTTTCAATAGTGTGTTTGGTATGTAGGAAAACATTTTCCGGGAAGTGTTTTCCAATTTTCTCATGTTTTGTTGGTCAAATATTTTCTCTGGGAAAACAAGCTCCTTGAAAATTACCTAATGAAAATAGGAAAAACAAGTTTCATAAGTGACATTCCAAGTTCATCCCCCCCCCCCCCCTCCACCCCCCCCCCCCCCCCCCCGGAGCCATTCTACCCTCCACATACCCCAAC